CTTTCTGGGCGATAAAAAGATGGCGGTACGTGCCCAATTAAAAGCTCTGGTGTTGTGCCTATCTGTAAGGCTCTTTTGAAGTATTGTGTATATTAAATGGTTCGAGATTTTACAACTTCTTCCTCGCTGTAAAATTATGTAAGCCTAGTACAATATAATTTTTTTTTCTTTAAAAATTAGAAAACTTTTTCAATACTAAACATTGTTTGATTTCAACCCCTGAGTTGTTATAAAACATATGCAAACTGGAAAATGACAGTAATACTTTTATTTACACTGTGTTAAAATACATTACAAATTATTCTCATAATTTAATCTGACATCAAAAATATAGTTTAAAATATTTGTTTTCTAAAGAGAATATTAAAATGTTTAATTTCACAAAAATTGTGCGTGAAAAAAGGCTGATTCAAATCTGATACCAACAAATAACCTGATACCAACAAACAACCTGAAAAAAAATCAATATTGAAATTTTAAACCATTGTATGATATTGTAATTTTTTATTCTCTGAATACCATAACTTGCTAACATTTCAACTCTTTTTTTACGATTGCTAACCACTTAAATATAAATTGAATGCAACATAAGTACTATACTGAATAAAATACAGACATTGTTGTACATAAATATATAATATGTATTTCATTACTAAAAAGTTTTTTTATTTTGTTACTTACTAACATGAACCCTTGTCTCTCATTGTGGGTAAATATTACCGTATCAAATATTTGAAAGATTAATTTTGATAATATTTTTAATACGGAAACATTTCTAATGTTTCCTAGGACACTCAAAAGGAAATATTTTTCCTAGTTTGCTTACAATATGCAAGAAAACTTGATCATGGAATAGAACAATATTTAGGATTGGAAAATACAAGCTATAGTTTTTTAAAGAACAAAAGGGGTACTAAGCATATGTAATTGTACTGCAAGGGAAAGTAGTTAAAGTTTCAAATGATGAAGTAAGTGAGCAGTCTTTCAAAATACCTTAAGAGAAAGAAGTGGTATTGCAAAATTTCAACTTCCTTTCTCCACTACAACGTTTTCCTCGACCAGAAGATAGAATCGAAACATTCTGATTCTTATTTACTACATATTAAAATAAACACATCAGGTCAATGGCGTTTATAATCAAATTTGATAACATCATCAGTCTCCTTCAAAACAAAATTCTCCGCATGATTATTAACGCTCCTTGGTTCTATAGCAACGCCGAAATTCATTACTCTCTCAATATACAAACTCTCCCTCAATTTATTTATAAACTTGCACACAACTTTTCTCCAATATCCCAAACATTGATAATGATCTTCTCAAAAGCCTTCCCACCTATGATATCACTAATCCAAAGAACGCCCACGCACCTCTCTCCTAATTGAATTTACTTGAATTGTTTATTTTCCCCGCGCCACCGTTCCGACTAGCGCTGACCTCGATTTGTTTTCACTTTTTCCCAGTTCGCTCTCGCAGTCTGCTGGACCGAGCTTCAGGTTGTTTATTGTCGTTTATTCTGTTAAGTTCTGAACGAGTGATTCTTTCTCACTCAGCCAACGATTTAATCATTTCTGGTTTATTTCTTTTCCAAACTCTCTACCCAGTATATGTAACTTCTTATTGTGCTCTTCCAGTTACTCGTTCATTTTATTTTAATTCTCTCCCATGTATTTTTATTACTTTCATCACTTATTATTAAAATAATAATAATAAAATTTAAAAAAAAAATCTCATTCTATTAAACTTTCTTTTAGTATTTGGACAAGATTCCTTTTAGTCTTTACCACTTTTTTTCCCAGCAATGCTCTTTCATCCTTCCAATGGGCAATCCAAGATAGAAGCTAACAGCTGCTGCACAGCCACAGAGCTTCACCAAAACTCAAATCATTAAAACCAGCTTATGCCACCAACTTGAATATTTTTCCAGCTTTACACGCGGTACTAAAAGGTGTTTTTGTTTAATAAATGCCACATACTCATATATGTGAATTTTGCTGCGCATAAAAATTAATATCCAACAGAAAAATGCTTTAAAACTCTTAAATTAAAAGTTTAAAAAGTTAATTTTACGAAAACGAAAAAAATGTTATTATACATAAAGCCATAATATTCTTACTGTTTCCGCCAAGAAAAGTTGAATAATCAAATTATAGGGTATTAAATGTTATTTAAACCAATATATTACTGTAGTAATTCATGAAATTTGCTGTTTCTCCCACATTTCCAATAATAATAATAATATTAATAACAATTATAATAAAAATAAAATGTATCGTTGTTTCAGCTATCAAATTACAATATGTTAAATCTTACAAACAGTATAAACGTCTCATTTACCACTTTAAATTGTTGCTTCCGAATTACCATTATAAATACCTTACATCTTAGAACCTGTTCTTGTCCAGATGAGAAACAGTGGTCTGGGGTGCGGGGTTTAAAGCCGTAGCTGATGATAGTCAGAGTGGTTCGATTCCACCTTCTGGGCTTATTTGTAAAACAGGAGCGAGAACTTGAGATGTGTGCTCTCGTTACTATTTCACATTTTAGAAATTTTGTGTGTTTAAATAATTGATGCTTTTTTACCATTTTTTGTCTTCATAGACTTTCAAGTACTAATTATAGTATATCGTTCGTCATGTAAAAATTATAAAATGTATCTTCCTATATATTTTTGCTACTGCTTGGTGAGCTACTATGTAGTGTCATAACGTTTCGTACCACAGGTTGCGGGGTGATGACTTCATTATTTTCAGGAAGGTAAAAATATATATTTGTGAAAAATGAATATAAAAATAAGTGAAATTTTTTTTTATCCCATCTATCGCAAGGGTTTTTGCAAGAGTTGCATCTGTTTTCTATGCCTAAAGTCTTATAAATTCGTGAATCCATTTTGCATTAAATGATTCAAAAATAACCATGCAAAAATGGCGACATCGTAATACGATGATAATTATCATCTAATTACTGTTGTCCTGATGAGCCACCGGTGGTCTGGTGTATGGGCTTCTAATTCTTCATGGAAGCCACTGTGGATGGATTCCACCTTCTGGGCGTCTTGTGGAATATTGCTTGAGATGTCTGTTATCGCTAATATTCCACATTTTAGAAATTTTGTGTGTTTTAATAATGCATGCTTTTTACCATTTTTCTCGTTATGAATTTTCATGTACTGACTACCGTGTACCATTCGTCATAAAATTATAAAATGTATTTTTCAAACCTGGGCCTGAGTGGCCCACAGGCAAGCGTTCCACAGGTTTCGGGTTCAAGTCCCGCCGTTGCAATAGATGTTTGCAGTTGTTTGTAGTTCACTTTAAACCGCAGGTCCCGGTCTAACTTGATAGTAGAGCATTGCGGAGGATAGTAGAGCATTGCATTTATTACTCCTCGTCCGTAGATCATCTTCAAGTTACACGCGCCGATGGGTAGTGTGATGAGAGTGACAACGGTGCAGGGCTTGCCTTAAGGCATCAAAGACAATTGTCTAAATGTTTGCCAGCTGCATTAGAACAAAAAAAAAATTATATCCTAATTGTCGGTAGTGACGTGGCCAAGTGGGTAGAGCTAAGATCTTCGGTGTTGCAAATGCCTGCGGTGACATGGATGCTTGTTTATGGTTTGGAATCCGCTTTAATTTGTATGTACGTGTATGTTTAGATCTCGTATGCCCAAAATGACCATACAACGGTATCCATTTGCGTATGGCATAAAGGTAACTGTCTAAGTAATTGCCAGGTGCATTAGAAAAAAAATGTTAAAAGTAGTAATTTTTACTCATAGGTACTAAGTAAAATTTTTCGTACTATTGATTTATGTTACACATTAAAGAAAAACATAAATAACTTTTTTTCTCGATAACTGTATATTTAACCAAGAGCATCTCTAATTATCAGCCCAATATTTACTCATTCGGATTCGCTTCCAAAAATTATTTCTTTGTAAAGCATCAGACGAGAATGTGTTATGAAAAATAAAGGATATTGCATTTCTACAATTGTGAACGTAGGTGGATACTGGATATGATCCAGTCGTCTACAACTGAATCAGTCACGAGAAAAAAAAAAATTGAGAGGGTATAGGAATAAATGGGACTGAATGGCCGAGTGTCTGGCGCCTGATACCACAGGTTTCGGGTTCGAGTCCCGGCGGTGATGTTTGTAGTGGTTCGAAATCCACTTTAAGCCGTAGGTCCCAGTCTCATATGACTGTTGAGCGTTGGGCGTAAGGCTGAAAACCCGACTCCGTAAAAAAGAAAAGCCCTCTCTCTTCTCGAAATATAACTGTAGGTAGACGGAATGGGCCCACAATGGGCTGTTGCGTTAATTATAATAATGATAGGAATAAATAGTAGGATAGATGTAAGGAGGTAGACCGAACATGAAAAGTTCTAAGAATAAAGGTTCTCGTCATACTTTAAAGATTAATGTGAAATATTCCTCAAGATTGAAGTTAATAATTTTTTTAAGATAAAATTTTAATTTTCAAGAAGCCGTATCGCACTTACTGTTCGTGTCTATATGAACAATAACTGTGTGTGAACTTACTTACTTACTTATTGCTGATTGACGTGTGATGATATAATTGTGGATATTTTAATCCTGTCTAGAACAACACATCAGTGCAGGAATTACAAAAACGGAAGTGCTTCTACGATACTTCTAAAAATTGTAGTAAAAGGATCTTATTTTCCAGAAGAAAAAGTTTTGGATTTCTTTTTTTTTCGGTATTATTTATGATTTCGAATTGCGGTGTGATTTGATAACTTGAAATTTTTCAATTCCTACAGATTTATAAAATTAAAAAGAATAATTAAAATAAAATTGAACCTTCCGCCCCATTTGTTAAGTAAATAATCTTTAATGCGTGAAATGAGTGAAGGAAGAAATACCACTAATGGAAACAACTTCATTGGGTGACACTTACAGATAGTTAAATCTACCACTTTTAACACTTGCTACAGAAATATCAGCATAAATACCAGACATGCAACTTGTAGTGTCGCCCAGATGAGCGCCAGTGGTCTGACGTGCGGGCTTCAAACCCGTAGTAGATGTGAGTCTGAGTGGTTCGATTCCTCCTTCTGGGAGAGAGAGTCATGGGCATGTGAGACGACGTTGGGAGTTTCACACACCTGCGAATACCCTTTTAAGATATTTTAAAATTATTAAACATTTACATGTATTTCATGTAACATGCATTTAAAAATTAACATGTATTTCTTATTCTAATAATTATTGGATTCCTCTGCCAGGATTAAATACAAAACATATGCAAACATTGAAAAAAAAATGTACATTCACTGTGCTAAGAATCATTAAAAGTTTGAATCGTATATTTTCATGTGATATAGTCTGTGTTGTAAAAATTACAATATGCTTTAATTATCAAAAAAAAAAAATCATTGAAACATTTATTTTGAATTCCCTTTAGAATATGACCATAAATTGTAATGTTTCTTAATGGTGCTGAAAGGAAATAATTTTTCTCCATGTCCAGCTTGCATCTGCCATGAAATAAATCCAAGTAGCAGAATCGAACAATTTACTGTATTCAGCGTAAACAAAGAGTACAGCGGGGAAAGTAGTAAAATGTCCAATTGATTTTAAGCGAGAATTGCTTCAAAATAGCTTAAAAGAAGGACATGGGCGTGTTATCCCAACTCTATGGAACTCCCAACGTCTATTGGACACTACCATGTCTTCCTCTCAGAACGATTGAACCATTCAAATTTCCATCCACTGTAGGTTAGAAGCCACCACAACGTACCAACAAATCTCATCGTGGCAGAAAAAGGCAATTGTTCCATTCCTTTTTTTTTTTTTAATTTATAAACAGATTTTCGTCGCAGTATTCAATAACAAATAAGAATACGGTTTAAAACGAAGAATTCTAATGATAATTTGTAAGGTTTAATTATTATTAATATATAACCGCGAGAGGTAGCGGTTATAACTGGTAACTGGGACCTTAACTGTGTGGTCCAGGGTGGTAAGCAGTTGCGGTGAGATCTTCAGATCGCCAGGTGAGCGCTAGGAGTGTCAGATCAAAACAGACGGTCAGGGACCGGCTCTCGGCTTTTAAATATTAATACGATTGTAGCAGAGGCACAGGGTGCCATGTGTATGTATATAATATTAATTGCGTAAATAAAATTAATGTAAATAGAAAGAGAGTATTTTATCGTGATACAACTAGCTGCTAGTGTATCTGATTACAAATTATTAAGTAAATTCTGTCATGATATTGTGAACATAATAAAACCAGATATTGGTCTCATGACTTGCTTTATCACTAATACTATATATTTATCCAAAAGTATCGCCTATTATTATGTCCAATATTTATTTAATCTCCTTTTTTTTTTGCTCTTTTTTATGAATTTAGAATGGAATCTGTGGTGAAGCCTAATGTTTGTTGAATTTGTTGTGTGGTTAACTTAAGATGCTTTTGGTTTTGATGCAGTCATCTACATCAGCGATAGTCAGTCGAGAAATGTGAGGGGTGTAGGGATAAATAGTGGGGAGATGGAAAAAGTTAGAGCGAACTTTTAATAATAAAGTTGTTATAGTTTTAAAATTAATGTGCTTTATTTGCCAGAAATAAAATTTCCATACGTTCTTGTTTTTCAGCAGTTAAAAATGTCTTACGTAGTTGTCGATATTTTTCTACGTATTGGCTGATTTGGAGTGAAGGGGTGATAACTTAGTATTCTTTGGACAAATATATGTAAAACAAATAAATTAAAAATTAAAACAGCTTTTTAACTTCTCTGTTGCTATACAAGATCTTTTCCCTTGCCCAATGACTGAATTTATAAATTCTTATTAATTAACTTACTTTTATTGCATGAAACGATTAAAAAAAAAAAACCGCACGTATCAAAGAATATTCAAAACTTTTCTACACATTTCAAACAATTCTACACATTTTCATTCATGTTCAATAGACATTGAAAGTTGTACATGAACTTCTTTTACGCTATTTTGAAGCAATGCTGGCTTAAAAGCGTATGAACACTTTACTACTTTCAATCTCTATACTCTTATGCTGAATACAGTTTACCTTTCAAACTATAAAAAATATTAACATATATTTATCATCATAAAAATTGTCTGATTCCGATACCAAGATTTATTTCGTAGTATATGCAAGCTGGATAGACATGCTTTCCGTTAAGCGGTATTAAGAAACATTACAAATTATTGTCCTATTCTAAAAGGAATTCAAAATAAAGCTTTCAAATATATTTTTGCTAATTACCACATTACAATCTTTACAAAAAAAAGGTACATAAAAAAAGTATGCTTCACACTTTTAAACATTCTTACCACAGCGTAAAGAAAACTTTTTAACCTTTTTGGCATATGTGGTGTGGAAACGGAATCAAACCATTTCCTCGAGTATGAATTGCATGTTATAATATTCAATGGATAAAACTTATAAAATTTAAAAGTATAAGGTAAAAGCATTCAGCATAATCAAGTGAACAACGAGGAAAAGTAATAAAAAGTATAAAATGAATTTAAGCGAACATTGTTTCAAAATAGATTAAAAGGATGTCATAGGTAGATCAAACTCACGACAAGAGTTTAACCTCACCATGACTCCCTCGCCCAGAAGGTGGAATCGAACCACTCTGATTTCCATCAGATACGGGTTTGAAGCCCGCACACCAGACCACTGGCGCTCATCTGGACGACGCTAGATGTCGGTTGTCTGCTATTTATATTAATATTTTCTGTAGTAAGTGCCAAAAGTGGTAGATTAAACTATGAGCAAGTATCATCATTTGCAGTTGATGTCATTACTGGCATTTCTATCTTGAGTCATGCTATAGCTTAATTAGGATATTAAGGAATAATTATTCAGTCGGAAGGTAATGGAAATGTGGTTTTCCTTGCAACAAACATAATATAACGTCTATTCTATAAAATATTTTAACATATTTTTCAGTCCTAAACGTTGATTTTTCTACCAAGAGTTGTTACATAACGTATGCAAACTGGAAAAATAAAATATGTGTTCTGTCATAAGTGCGAAAAATTAAAATAAAATTACAAAAATCGATAGATTCTCATTTTAAAAACTGATAACTTAATGAAGGTTTCAAATATTTTTTTTTTTTACTCATTAAAGCACATTTGAATCTCTACTAAATAAGACATTACAAGTAAAAACGATATGATTATAAAAGATAATCGCTAACCAACAAAGACAAATAAATTAAAAAAAGCAAAATTGACATTTTAAACGATCCTATGAAATTGTTTTATATTTATCTCTTTACCAGGACTGTGTTAAAATTCCCATTATTTTTCTTGTGCTAGCCACTTTAAATTTATATTCAATACAACACAAGAACGATATTGAACAAAATAGAATATTATAATAGTATAGAGACATAAAAGAATAGAGTATTCATATATCAAACAAAATAGAATAGAGTATTCATCATACCTAAAAGATGTTTTTGCTTTATTACACACAGTTATGAACTCTTGCCTCTTAATCTAGGAAATATTACGCTAAAAATTATGAAATATTAATTTTGATAATATCTTTTACTTCTTGTCTCAGTGTAAACGAAGGCCCGCCTGTTATTTCTCAGTTTTCATATGGTATGTAGGGAATCTTGACGATGAAGTTAAACAACAATTAAAATTGAAAAATGTTTACATTTTTTTTATTGAACAAAACTCATACTGTATCCATCTTTTTTGTTACGGGTAAAGTAAATGAGAATATCAAACGATTTGAAGTCAGCACATGAAAAGCTAGAAAAATGAAATGTTTGCTGGCGTAAAATGGTTTTAAATAAATTTTATAAAGTCCAGTGACATCATTATTTGTTATTATGTAAAAATAGTTTGCACGTTATTAAAAAATGGCTGTTAACACTTTAAAAAAAAAAGAAATTTTTATGCGTCAAATCCGGTATCTCCAACTTATGTCCCACGAGCTTCACAAATCGACAAACTATTGTTTATTTTGATTTTAAACTGCAAAATTCCCAATGTAAGTAAATTATACAAAATAATAATCCGAAGTTTTTATATAACGAACAATTAAGAAACCCAATTACAGACATAATGTAATTAATGCGAGTAAGCGAAAAACGTGAAGAAATGTATGCTCGGACTACAGAAATTTAACAATATGTATACCAGGTTCAATAATAGAATAACTGCAATATTTAGTGGTATTATCATATCTTAAAGATCACTAAATATGCTTATATACTGCAATATTAGTTGTAAATATAGATACATAACAGGTGTGTTGAAAAGTTCATAGGTTGACACATATATGGCGCTACTAGTATTAAATCCATCTGAATTTTAGTTAGCCCTAATCTTCAAACAACACGTGTATAAATTGGACAGCTGTTGCACTATTAGTATGTGAGTTATAGCATTTTTAAGTGAAGTTACAGCATTTTTAGTGTTCATCACGTGCTGTCCACGCGGCTGACTGTCGATTGGACTCATGACGAATTGGACTCGATTGGACTGAAATGATGGAGCCATGTTTCATCCATTGTCACATATCGACGCAAAAATTCGGATTTAGTACGATGGAACAGCTCCAAACACTGCTTAGAATCCTCAGTTCGTTGTTGTGTTTGGTCGATTGTGAGCTCGCGCGGCACCCACTTTGAAAGGATTCACATTGATTTAATACTAGTAGCGCCATCTATTTGTCAGCTTATAAACTTTCAGCCCGCCTGTTAGCATATAAATGTCAACTATAAGACAAAAATAAAAGTAGATGTAGATGTAAAGATGTAGTTCTGGAAAGAAATCACCGTGGATATGGATCGTTTTCTAGACAAGAACGGTTTACAAACAATATTGCATACTTCCATCAGATTACTAGACTATTGTCGTTGGCTTGTTATTTCGCACAAGTTTTACGGCAAATACTCGGTGAATAACGATAACGTGGCCAAAATGAAAGGGCAAATTAGGCAAGGGTTACAAACCCTCTGTCGAAAACGTGGAGCTCAGTTCGCCCGTTCAGCAAAATGCCTCCCCCAGACAAGAACTCCAGAACCACCATAACGGTGTCTTTCCTTGAGATTACTGGG